TGTATACACACATCACGGTTGCTTCTTCTTCTTTTTTTTTTTTGCGCGCGCATCTGTGATCAGCCCAGCGTGCACCGCACTGCGCACCTAACGTATGCGCCTCAAGTATGCTATGATTCTTTTTTCCTGCGTCTTTTTCTTCTTCTTCGCCTTCTTCACCTCCGCCTTCCCCATCACCGTCTCATCCTCATCTCATCCTTTTCTTCATCTGGTTGAATGAACAAAGACATGGTGTTCGTTGTTGTGGGCCTCGTAAATCCGCTTCATCCGCAGGCAGAGTATGCCCATTTTGGGAAGCAGTGGGAGGTTACTATTTGAATGTCCAGCGGCCCTGTTGTTCCAAAACATTGGAGCATGCATGGATCTATGATGGTGCAACAGAGCATACAAAGGCGTGGGAAACAGTGCAGCTGAAACAGAGGCAAAGATTATAGAAACAAGCAAAAAGAAGAAAAATGTTTGGCGGCTTTATCCACATCGCTGTTCTTCTTGCCTTCCACCCTTCCTTTTCTGCTTTTCTTTTTTCCACATTTGTTTTGTGTCTGCCGTCTTAGTCTTATTACCATCTCACAATATTTCATAAAAGTAGAGTCCACTGCAATTGCCTGATCAGGACCCTAAATCGACGTGCTTTGTGTTTGATCACAGGAGGATCCTTTGCTGCGCAGCGCAGGAGCGCCCACGCCCAATCCAGGGGTTGCTGCATTGCCAGCCCCCCCATCAAGGTCTCATGACGTGGATACCATATGCGAAGCGCCTCTTGCAATCCGGTACAGAACAATGAGGAATATGGTGAAGAAGAGAGTGTCGGTGGGTGCCAGCGAGATTCATGGCCGGGGCTTGTTTGCAGAGACACCTTTTTCATTCAATGAAATGGTGATCGAGTATGTTGGCGAGCTTGTGCGCCCCAAGTAAGTACCTTCTCCTCAGGCAAGCTCATGCCTGGAGAGCTTGTAGCTACTCTCCCAGGGTCCCTGGGTACCTGCTGTATGTTAAATGTTGATGAAGGGCGGGTTAAAAAATGGGCGTGGGGATGATACAGAGAAGATTAGCATGGCCCCTGCGCAATGATGACACACATAAATCGAGAAATGGTCCAAATTGAAAAAAAAAAGAAAAGTCGTGGGGTGCTGTGTTACCGAGAGCCATCACACCATTCTTAATGGGAAAGGAACAAATGAGAGCAGAAGAAAACATACAAAAAAAAAAAAAAAACAGAACAATGTGGCAGCGCGGCACCCCTTTTTTCTCCCCGACTTGCCTCCTTGCTCTTGCTCTGCATCCTTCCCCTTCCTCCCCCTTCCTCCTCTTTCCTGCTCTTTCCTTCATCTTCTCCCCTCATCCTCCTTCCTCCTCCTCCCTCTGCCTTCCTCCTTCCTCCTCAGATCTCCCACCATCCTGTGGCAGCACGGCCCACTCTTTTTTTTTCGTCAATTGGCTCGGCTCATCTCCGGGAATCCTTCCCTCCCCCCTCTTCCTCCTCCCTCATCCTCCTTCTTCCTCCTACTTCCTCCTCCTCCTTCCTCCTCACATCTCCTCCTGTGCTCATAATGTGTCAGTGTGGCACAAGTTTTCTTTTTTCCTTTTCCAGTCGGCTTTTGTCTGCCCGAAACTTCCCCCCTCCCTCTCCCTCTTTCTCTTCCCTTCTCCCTCCTTCGTCCCTCCACATCTGTCCTCCCTCTTCCTTCTCCCGCCACCTTTGCCGTCCTCCTTATCTCCTCTCTCCACCTTCGCCCTCCTGTTCCTTCTCCCTCCATGTTACATGCTGACCCTGCTCACGGGCCCCGTTTTGTGGGCTTGACGGTTGCTGGGGGGCCCCAGGCCACACACCCCTCGGACGCACGCCTTGGAGGCCCACGGCCGGCCTTAGGGCCGCAGTTTCGATTTGAGGCAGCATTTCATTTATTTATTCATTTGTTTGCTGTCCTATTTTTGTCTGTTCAGGCATCGTTTCGGACTTGCAGTTCGTCCGAACAGACCTTGGATCTGTTCGGACAAAGGCCACGTTTTTGGCCTGGTACGGATGCAAGCAGGCCCTTTTGGCCCAGGTCCACTTTTGTCCGATAGTGGACACTCCCTGCTGATGCCTAGATGTCCGGTAGGGACCCAGGCAGGCCGTTTTAGGCCAAGGACCAGAGGCACACGGAGGCACACCTGCGAGGCCCAGCGCTGCTTAGAGCGCTGGGCCAGGCCAGGGCAGACACACAGAGTTCAACTAGCTCACTTCTTGGGCGACACGCTGCTGGAGCAGCGCGGTACGACGCTGCACTAGAGGTAGAGGAGGAGAGAGAGAGAGAGAGAGAGAGAGAGAGAGAGAGAGAGAGAGAGAGAGAGAGAGAGAGAGAG